TTACAATCTGTACAAAGGACACCTGATGCTTTTCATGTWGTGTCCAAGTCCTTGGGAAAGAACTGTTGGCTGTATAAACTTGCAGGCTGTATAAACTATCCCAATTACATGCACCTTAAAAAAAACCTATTTTATACAATATCGTATGAAAAATCAGACAAAAAAGTCTGCCTTACCAGATTATCAAGCATTCGCATAAGAGCTTCAAACTCCTGTTCTCCAATCTGCCATTTTGGATGGGATACAGTACCCTCACCTGCTGGAGACTCAGGGGAACGAGACTTGGCTTTATACTTTCCAGGATCAAGGAGCACTAAGTTGTCAGGTCCACCYGCACTGGCCAGGGTACGTACCTTAAAAACAAATCATCTTTAAGTTTTTTTAAGTAGGGGATGGGGTGAAAACAACCAAAAAACCCCCCAGAAACTTGGCATAAACCCAGAAGAAATCTATTTCATTTCAAAGCAAAAAAATGAATATGCTTATATAAAAGTTGTCTTAAGTCTTTGAAAATATCTGTTTTAATGGGCAGCATATATCAAATTGATGGTTTTTGATACCCTGTGGGACTAATGTCAGTAAAACCAGTATTTTGGATGTCCTCCCACAACATAGTGATATCACACATCATTGTGTTCGTTTAGATCAAAAGTTTAACCAGTAAAGTTATTGATTTTTAAGTTATTAATTTAACACAATTATTAATCTGTTTGGAGGTTAATATTGCAGACTCTATTATTACATAATATATTAAAGTTCTTACTTGTATCTCACAGGCAAGCACTAGGTTATGAATATAGTAGAAAGCCTCCTCAACAGTCTCTCCAACTGATACTAAGCCATGGTTTCTGAGAATGAGGACCTAGAGAGACATTAAAAGAAAGTTAACAGCAGTACACCAAGTATTTCTTGCTCTTGATTAAAGAACATTTGCTACTGATTAAAAAATATACTTGTCACACACATACACACYACCCCCCTCCTTTTTTCATTTGTTTTAGATGTGAATACTGACCTTGCTTTTAGGCCCCAAATTTTTCTGAATAACCACCTTTTCTTCATCATCCACTAGAATACCATGGTAGTCATGATAAGCTACTTCCCCCAGAGAAAGTGCTTCAGGTGAAATTGGCAGGAGACCACACTTCATTGCAGAAACCTGAGAAACATTAAAACAACTGMCTTAATTTCTTGCAACAGAAAAGTGAAAAAATATACTGGTGAGAATTATAATAAAAATATATTTTTATGTATTGTCTGACTCTATCTGTACAGATACATACATCATGGTCTTAAACTCCATCCTTAAAAGCCTCTATTTTTGATAACTTTTGAATTGGATACAAAAGTCACATTCATTTTGGGTCCATCTTGATATGGTTATTTTTATAAGACAGGAACATCAATATAAAAAGACTCAGGAAAAAAAAAACCCAAGAAACCACCAAAACCCCAAATCAACTGCATCCTTCATTCCTTTCACTCCACTCAGCTATTTGCCCCTCCTGCCCCCATRTCAAAAGAAGAACCTTTGTGACACAAATAATTCTGCAGCGCTGCAGTTAAAGAATATTTTTAAAAAGTCTACTCTACAATTCACAATTTTAGGAATTTGATCATTTAGCCTTAAAATGGCTGTATTTATCTGATTAATCAATTAATTAAAAAACAAATCATCAGAATGTGGACACTGAGAGTCATTTTCTCAAAACATTCCTGAGAGGAAGAACTGACTTGGAATCAGTTGTTCCAARGAGAGATATTAGGAAAGTTTACAATATTGCAGAAAAACTTGAAAAATTGTGCTTTACAAAATGAATAAAATATACTAAAGCTTTTATGACTCACTGTCAAAAGACTTGGCCTTTGTGGTAAAGGACACACACATGAAATCCATGTTTTCCAGTGATAGAACTCATTTTACTGTTTTCACCATTCAGGTAACAACCCATTAAGAAGGATCTGACTGATTCAAGCAGAACCATATTTAAAGGCTCTCTGTCCTCCAAAAGGGAAGCAAATCTGTGATTAAGGGGACCCAACTATTCCCCTTTGGGGGGGSTGGAGGAACACAACAGAAGACAAACCCAGACACAAGCTTACCGCTGCTCCTGCTGGCGTGTGGATATGGACAATGCATTTGACATCAGGTCGAGCTGCATAAATWGCAGAGTGCAATGTAAAACCAGCTTGGTTTACTCCCAAGTTAGTGCTTCCACGATCAACCACATCTCCCTGAATATTGATTTTAACCTGGGAATAAAAACAATTCTTTTCATTATCAAGAGTCAAAAAACCAGATTTAATTCAGTATTTACTCTTGAGGCTCTAAAACCAGATGTCATCATTTATACCTGAAATGCCTATTCCCTCAATAAGCTGGACTAAAMAGCCAGCAGCTTTCAAGAGCATGAGGTGATTGATTCACTGTCCAAATAATCCTGCTCTTCTTTACAGGTAGAACAACTGGAGGTGAACATGGTGGTGAACATGGGCAAAGAAATCTCTCAGAGATACCTCAGCAGTACCAAAACCAGTCATGTTCAATAAAATTAATCTAAACATATTGCGCAAGAATATTTTATTCTGTAGAAGAGAATTTAAAGTGACATTTTACAGCTATGAAAATTAGCRATTGCTTACCAGACTAGATGCAGTGACTTCACTATAGAGGAGTCCAAAAGGTACAATAAGGAAGTGCTCTTGTTCAGAATTTACTCTGGCCTAAGGATAAAACAAAGAGTAAGACTTACTAAGGAAWTTTTGTTAAAGCATAAAAAAAGACCCCAAACCAATAAAGTTACATTCTGATCCCAGAATGRGCAAATATGCCTGTAACATACAATATGCCTTTCATGTATGCTACAACAGATAATCAATRCCCAGCACAGTTAATTAACTCAGGTTGAACACAAACAGATGGCAGGTATATGCTGGAGTCCTTCAGACTGGTGGAATTTWGCAACCCCTTATATTCTGTTATAATGACAACTCAACCTCTAAGGATAAAAGGTACAATACTGAGAGAAATGGGGAAGAAAGTAATTTTTTTTAGTTGAACRAGTTTACACTCCAACTGTATTTCCACCCTAGTAAGACATAAGGYATGAAAYGGAAGGCTGTAAGAAAACACAAGAATTTGGCCCACAGATCTACATCTTGATGCTGAAAAGGGCTTTATCACTGATRTTGGTTCCTGTGAGACATCTGTGAGCAGTACAGCGCACTTGGGATACTTCTGCCAAATATCCCAACCTTCACTTACGTTTTTTCCCTCTAGTCTCATTCACACAATTAGGGGTTTATCGTGCAAAAACAATTTTGGCTTCAAAGCATTCACATCTTAGGATGCATCTCCTAGAAGTCTTTACAATGGAAAGTACAGGACAGTTAAGGTGTTTCTTGATGGTGAATTAATAGACTTCCTAAATTTTAATGGACACATAAGACAACTCCCTACTTTGCTGTGAGTCTACCCAGTGTGGGTAGTTTGTGTTGTGGTTAGAGTTTTTTTGTTTGGTTGTTGTTTGGGTTTTTTTAAATTAAAAGTTATTTATGAGTTTTGCATTTCCCTGAGATGCAGCTAATTTATGCTGCTTCTGCCTCATGTCTTCTACTACTTGCAACATTAAATACATATATCCTTGGCAAGATTCTACTRCAGGGAAAAAAAATCTAAAATAAGTAGTTGTGCAGTCATGCAAAAGCTTCTAGCACAGATCTAGCTTACTTTACAACCAGCTGGGAGCATGCTACAGCATAAGAGCCTTAAACTGAAGCAGTGAGTTAAAGTTAACCTGTACTTTTATGAATCACCAAAGTAGTTCTCCATTACCAAAGTGTAAATGATCTACAAAAATCCCCATCTTATTTATGCAAGACAAAGAGGTATTATTCAAAATGCCCCAAAAGCTAAKAAGAAAGCTCAAATAGAAGACAAACAAGCAGCAAGACTCACAGAYTAGATCCAATAAACAGCTCATGCTCTCAAAGCAAACCAAGACCTGGTGAATGATGGGTACCTTCTGTAAACCTTTAAAATCAAATTCTGCCTGACCCTGGAGGCACCCAAGTTTACTCTACGTTATTGCACTTGACATGAAAACCCTGGGGGTACCCAAGTGACTCAATGTTATTATAYTTGGCATGAAAGCTCTTGATGCTCTGTAATTCTGCTTCTGTGTCYGGACTGCACCAGTCTGAACAATTCTGCATACAGGAACTCTCAGTGATTGATAAGGATTCAAAAAAGCAACAACACTCCACCCAGAGCCCTGATAGGAATTGTGAGGGTATGAGAGCATGTGCCATTCTCTAATACACAGGCTTATGACCCTCACAGAAGGCTGATCTATCTTTTCTCTTACTTCACAAGCGAACTGGCACAAGCTTTTAATTCGAATGCAATCACAAATTACAGCATTCCACTCACAAAAAAAAAAGAAAACCTGGAGTCAAACTCCAGCACTGCATGAAGTGTAGCATTCACCACATTCCAAGGGGTGTCTCAGTACTACTTAATAAACATAACAACCTTGTTCTATATCAGCTTCTGAAGATAAATGATATCTTTCAGTCACCTTTCAGAATGCTGCTCACTGCAGAAGTTTGTAAAAGACAGGAAACTATGACTTGGGACTGCCATTGACAAACCAAGAGCTTCCCAGTACCTSTGCCATTCAGAAGTGTCTAAAACACTTTCAGAATCTCATTTTCCAAGTGCTTTGATTGCCTTCCACCTCAATTGGTACTACCTCTACYAGCATCTTCCTTGCTCCTCCCCAAAGAAAGCAAACTTGAGGCATTCCACCCCAATCACACATTCTTGCCTCAACCGCTCCTCTTGACATGTTGCTCTTCATCACATTTATCTTTTTATCTAAAAATACAAACATTCCCTGGGCTGAACTTTACACTAGAAAGCCATCTCCAAACATGCTTGCCTAGTCATCTTTTCATTGCRTTAATGTCCCTTCCACAAAATCAATTCTCCTGTCACGTATGAAAAATCTGGGGGTGGTACAGAGTTGTTTACAAGAATCATGTTGGATATGTTCCCTTACAAAAGGAACCGAACGATCCAACCAATTGCCTTGATCCTATGCCTACACATACAATTTATCATCTTCATCTGTTCACAAATAATATGCCTTGAATTCTCAAAAAGCAGTAAAAATAAGATTACCACATTTCATTTCAACTGCAACTAGAAGAGCTGAAAATACATAAAGGACAACATCTACTATGTAGAATAAAAAACAATTCAGCTCTGTTAGGACAACAATTGATGGGGCTGCACACCACAGCTGTGACTTTACTCATGAGACTCATGTTGATCATTCTTCTGGCRTATAAAACCTCCTTGATTTGACCTCCTTGTCATTATTTTTATGGRTGCCAGTGATTACTCAGTCACCAGGAAAATTGTTGGCACGCTGCATTAAGCTGAGAGCTCGCTCATGTTCAGAAATACTATGACTTCTTTATCAAAAAGACTGGTACCTGAACTACAAAATTCAACTGAATGACTAAGAAGATATTTTAGTACTTAGCAAAAAAATCAAGAAAACAAAGAAACAACCTTGTAGAATAATAAGTACAATTATTCAAAGCATTTGAGACACTAAAAGACTGAGTCTTTCAAGAGTCTTAATTTCATCCTAAGAATTTTCATGCACGCTCTCTTAAGACTATATTCAGACTGTGGTAGCTGACATCCAAGCTGAGATGCAATGACAAATCTCTTCACTATTATACTGCTTTCAATACCACTTTGCTCTTCTCACACACAAACAGAAAATGACAGATAGGGGAGAGAAGCAATTCTCTTGTATGTTAAAACAATTGGTTCAGTTATCTGTTGATTCAATACTCACTGTTATATGATTGTAAATAAGCTGAGACCAGCCAAAGAGATCTGCTAATCTGTAGAAAGCTGCCAATTTACATCGTAACAACTTCTCCCCTTTTTCATAAGCAATGGAGTCGGACCCTCTCAGATCATTCACTGGTGTTACCATGCCAAGACCTGAAGAGGAGAATGGGTAAAGAAAGCACAAGCAGGTTGCATTCAGGATCAGTTCAAACCTAGCAAAATGCACCAACAGAGTGGTTATTCTTACTGGATTATATGAACATTTTAACCTAAGAAATGGATAGCAAATTTTCATTCCTACAATGTAATAATTTACATAACACAAATATAATGACACTATTGAGCAAGGTTATTCAGCTTTGGTAGACTCAGCATTCATTTCCTTCCCTATTATAAATTAGTGCTAAGGTGACAGTGCATTCCTTAGCAAAATACTTTTTTCCTCTCTGAAACTAATAATTGTTTGTAAAATACGTTTTTATTGTTATAAGAATAATGTAACCCAACTATTCTAGTTTTTGAGACACAGGTATTCCTGACAAGGAGAATTACACACCTAAAAAGATGCACACAGGTTCATTTAATTAAGAAAAATTGAGTACAAGCTAGAGAGAGAAAGATTATGATAAATAATACAAATACTGTAGCTCTACTTACAGCAATTAGAAAAGTGGTTAAAAGTAACCGTGAAAAAGCAGAACCAGGCCATGCTACAGTCAAAACTAAAGATATATTTTGGAGCACAGGCAAGAATTTATGTTATCTTAACACAAAACCCGTGTGTACATGCATTCACACATTCTGGTTTTTGATTTCCTTCTTTGCTTAGCTTGCTGATGTTTCTTGTCTAAAGCTTCACTTCACAAGAGAAAGCTGCAAACAGTATTTCAATGGCAGAAATAATTATTTTCTAAAGACCTTCACTGTTACCAGACTACTAATGAGTGTTTTATTTTCCTGCAGACAAATCATGTGGTAATTAGCAATATTTAAATATTTAAAATTTTTAATAGCACTGACTTATCAGGCTTTTCAATTAAGACACCATCCTTGAAATAGCTTTTGATATAAACTATATACATGAATCACATTAAATGCCACAGTGGTATGCAAAAACTAATCATTTCATGTGTTCGGTGTTCGTGTTAGCAGAACAGGATAGCATTTGAACTTCACAGTACTTTTTATTTCATTCACAYTGCCTTCATTTTAAGACTTTCAAGAACAGAAAAAAAGGAGCTCAGCTCTGATGACTGAAGGTGCACTTACTCATGTTTAATGCAGCCATTCCGCCTTGAGGTGCTGCAGGGTAGACATTTGGTACGTGCGTTGTCATRAAATCTGCAATCTGCTGTAAAGCCAATAAACCTGTGGGGTTCTTCCCCTTCTTAAACTGTTCCTGGATCATGGATTCCAATTCTTCACAAAAGGCCTAGTAACAAGACATTGCATGTTTTAATGCATGTTTAAATGAACTTCAGCCTTCCATAYACAGCTTCTTTTGAGCACTTTGATGGAATCAACCTACACCTCTTCTAAAGACACCTCAGGGCAGAATTACTGGGTGCATAACATAAMTTCGAAACATTGCTCTATAGATCTCCAATGATATGAGTCACTTGGGATTTTTTTATGGAAATTCCAGCAATCTCTCTTCAAGTAAAAACAAAAGTAGCAAAACCAGAAGAGAAAATYTGTCACTGTGGCTCACAGGTAACTAAAAGCCAAGAAGGCATCCAGGAACACAGAAAACAATGAGCATTAAATTTTTAAAACCCATTTAGACATGGGGTTGTTTACATTTTTCCTGGGTTTTTGTTTGGTTTTTTTTTTTAATATATTATAACTTGGAAGGAAGAAAACAAGAGCTTTTAGTATTGCTGATAGCTCCTTTTGTACACTAGAATTTGTACCAAAAAAGAAGTACTGTAATCATTAAGTCATTACTTTTTTAGTAAGTGATTTATTAATATTTCCATCAATCAAATGGGTTGACTTAATAGAAAAATTGTGAATATACCACCACAGCCCTATTCCAAATGAAGTTAAGTCACGCAATGTTTTGTATCCAAAGTCACCCAATAGTTATTGCAAAAGGAACAAATGTCATGAGAGAAATTTTGTTTGTGTACTTTCTCCCCAAGGGAACATCTTCAATAATAAATGTCAATCATTCATAGTTAATTACAGTGCAGCTTTTCAGAAAGAGATATATAAAAATATTTCATATGTCCAAATCCAAAAGAATATTAGAGTATAAGCCAGACCTGCCYTGTATAAGTTACTTCTAAACATTTAAATGAATATGTGAAACCAGTGAAAAAATATTTCAAAAGGACTCAATGGAAAATATGAAAAATATGTTTATGATTATACAGAGAATTCTGAAAGTCAGAATGAAGAGCYGCTTCATGAGTAGACCATAAAAATTCAAACAGATAGCATGAGGAAAAAATCAGGAAAGGCCAACAAGAACAAAGGACAAATGGATCTGAGGCACCACAAAATTCTCCAATTCTGTACTGAAAGTAAAAATAAAGATATTAAATTTGTCACTTTGAAGATTGAGCACTTTCTTTTCTTACTGGGCTTTGAAGAATCATGGAGACTCTCTTCTTCTGTTCCATCATGTTAAAATCCTGGCGAAGGTCAGGTGCCATATTTCTCTCTCTCAAATATTCTGGATTATTTTCATCAACTCGATCAAAATACCTCTCTTTATGAGGGGCTGTTGTTGGAGGTGGTGAAGTCACCACCCCCACACCAGAGTCACCATTCATAGCACAGTTTTAAGGAACCTATGAAGAAGGATGGAGAAGAGGAATAAGTAAATCAAGCAAGGAAATAATTATGAAATTCATATGTGTTTCTACTTTCAGAGTAAAAGTCCAAATCCATCTAAAATTAGTATGTCTTCTCAAACATAGAAACCATGTTTGTGCAACTGGATAGCAATATTCTAGAGTAGGGAAAAGGATTTTAATATCAAAGATCAAAAAAGTAGATTAACATATATGAAAAGTCCAGTATGCTAAGTAAATTCATRCAACACAAAACTAATATGAGTGCTCCCATTTAAACTAATTTCTTTAAGCTGCCGGGCCAGCCTGATTTTCAGAGGCATGGAAGTTCCTTCAAACCTTTTCAGAGACAAACACAGAAGTTCCACACACGAGATCTAAACTCATTGGTTTGGGGCTTCTGCCCTTTTGTTTTTTCTTTAAAAGTTAAAGCAGACATAAGAAAAAGAATATTGAATAAATCAGTAATTAAACAATCACTGAAATTAGTMTATTACACATGTTCACTAATATGAAGAATCAGCCCCACCAAAACATGCTTGGACTGCCAACACATTTCTGGATACAAACTCAGAAATCCTGACTTTGCAACCCGAGGTGTGTGTTCCACATCTATTTTAGKTTCATTCAATAACATGCACACCACTACATTAGCATGTGGTTTTTGGAATCTGGAAAGCACAGATACACACAGCCCCCACTCCCTGGCCAGAGTTCCTTTCAGTTTTACATGTTGTAGTCAGCAACTGCCTGTATCTACCAGAAAGGCTGAAAGCCCAGCCAGTATTGCTCATACACACCTCCTCCTTCTCACTAGAATTCCTTTGTGTAACATTATCCCAGTTTTCTGGGCACAGYATTACAACCCTCACTCCAAAATCCTTCTCAGAATAATTTTGAAGCCTTCCACTGACAAAGACAGTTCAATAAAGCCACCCTCGCAACACTTAAGAGATTCAAGCCTCCAATTCYTGGTGATCTGATATATTAAATTACAGCTAAGTAGAAAAGACTGTATATATCTTCATTTAAGTAATCCTTCATCATCTACACCTATAATTAGTAAGTTTTTACATGTCTCTACTCTTTTGCCATTTTCTCTACTCTTTTGTCATTTTTAGATTTTTCTTAGGGACTCATCTAAAAGTGTTTTTAATTTGCTTAGTAATTTATTTGCACACTTATTAGCTAAGACCACTTCAGATGTGGATGCACAGAGAAAAGACGAGTTTACATAAATTTTCAAATGCAGATTATGTTAAACAAAATCATTATGATGAAGAAAATTATCTACTTCAAGACTCCAGAATTAGCAGATTTCACTCCCTTTAATTCTTACATTAGGAAAAAAGTTTCAAAATTCAACTCATTTCTTATGTCAGAATGAACAAACTACTGAATTGAGACAGCTGAACACAATGAGCAAAAGAAAGTATTTTCCTTGACTCTGCAGAATAGGATACTATCATAAAAATCTATGCTAGCACTTAAACACTCAATAATTTCCACCCACCAGGTTACTAAATAAACACACAAAAACACCTCTGCAGTGTTTAAAATATTTAATTTTAAAGTTTAGACTTTAAACATCATGTCAACTGTTTTCTTCTCTAAATCTCACATGCGCATCTTTATTTTTTAAATTGCTCACTTTCCTTCACCCACGGAGAAATACAGGGTACAGCAAGAAGAAATAATGCTTTTATCTGCAAGGAAAACCTTTTAAGGTATTAGACCTAGGAAATTTTAAGTAAGTGAAGTTATAGCAAAGTAATATACTTCAGACGTCTAATACACTCCTTCTAAGTTCTCTTCCTCCTCACAACCCTCCAGCCAGCACCATCTGCCACTTCCTTCCTTGAAAATGCTTTTAAAGGCTCACTAACACCTTTTACAACCTTTTGAGCTCTATCAGCCATACTACTGCCTCTACATCCAGGCTTTGTTGAAAAAAAAAAAACCAGTTTGCAGACCCCAACATGTGCCTTACTCTCTTATAAAGTAACAGCTCACTCGGCCCAATCAAAGCTTGAACTTCATTGGCCTCTCCTTATCAAAAAAAAATCAGGGAGTTTAGAAACAGCACAGGGCAACTCCACAAATGAAGATAACTGGAACCACTCAAGCAGTTCAGACTTTATACTACACGCTGCTGAGCACAGCCACGAATGTGTCTTTCCTTAAAACCAAAGCATAGGAAAATGAAGAAGTTTGAGCTTACCACCAGCAGAGAACAACAGCCGCCCCTCCTGCCTGCTGAGGCATTCAATGTTCAGGCTATGTTTAAGTGTCATGTTGTATATGGGTATGCACAATCTGATTTAAATTAAACTGTACACAGTCTGCAAATGTAATTTTGCATTTAATTATTTACACTAATTTCATCTTACTTTCAGAATACCAAAACCTATTTCCAAATGAATGACACACATAATTACTTCACTGTTTCCTACGCACATKGCAGAGAAGCTGGTCCCTCACATTCTGCACAGGCGACATTAAAATGGGATCACAGTGTCTTGCCAAAGTCGCATTACTCCTCCATCCAAGTACATGATGGCATTCAAGAATGTCTTGGGAAGCCTATTACTACTTCACCACTATGTAGTGGCAATAAATTCACGTGAAAATCAATGCTTAACATTCAGTGATCATTTTATATCTAAGGTTAAATATCTGTTTCATAGCTCAGTTTTGCAGACACTCAAAATTAATGGCATCTTCCCAGCAAGGTCTAATAATTAACTGTTTTAACGTAACTGTAATAGTAATTGCTTTAATGGCTGTCAGCTACTGATGTTAAAGGGATCGACTTTTGAACTAGATGCAGACATACATGACAACACTGTGCAAATCCAATGAAATTTATTTATGAGTTTCCTTGAAAGACCCTTTGGGAGTAAGGCATGATGAACTCTGCAGAAAGAGCTTCAGTAATATGAATACCAATAAATAAGTAAAAAGAATCTGAACAATGAAGCTGAGCACACCAGAGGAAATGGCCAGTGGTTCTATAAACTGGAAAGTCACACTGAAAATCACAATAGGCTGCCCAGACACACACACACACACACACACACACACACACACA